GCTCACAGCAACCTCCAACTCCTGGGCTCAAGCGAGTCTCCTGCCTCAGCCTCCCAAGTAGCTGGGACTATAGGCGCCCGCCACAATGCCCGGCCATTTTTTTGGTTGCAGCCATCATTGTTTGGCGGGCCGGGCTGGGGTTTCACACCTGCCACCTTAGGTGTATGTGGCTGGCGCCTTAGCCACTTGGAGCCACAGGTGCCGAGCCACCTCATCTTCTTAAATGAAGCCCATTTCTATCATCTTTCTATCTATCTATATATTTTTTTTGTAGAGACATAGTCTCACTTTGTTGCCCTTGGTAGAGTGCCGTGGCATCACACAGCTCACAGCAACCTCCAACTCCTGGGCTTAAGCGGCTATTTTTTGGTTGCAATTTGGCCGGGGCCGGGTTTGAACCCGCCACCCTCGGTATATGGAGCTGGTGCCCTACTCACTGAACCACAGACGCTGTCCCAATCATCAATATATGTTAAGAAATTTCTGAAGAAGTCTGGATCATGTTGGATGTTCTTGATTGGTGATTACCCCCAAATCTTAAAACTCTTGTCCCCACTAGCTGCTACTAAGTAACCTTGTGCCAATCCTGAATTGTTCTCTCAAGTTTCTTTTCTTTCTTTTCCTTTTTTTTTTTTTTCCTTTTTGAGATAGTCTTACTCTGTCGCCCTTGGTAGAGTGCCGTGGTGTCACAGCTCACAGCAACCTCAGACTCTTGAACTCAGTGATCCTCTTGCCTCAGCCTCCCAAGTAGCGTGACTACAGGCACCCACCACAACGCCCAGCTATTTTTAGAGGGAGGTCTTGCTCTTGCTCAAGCTGGTCTTGAACCCATGAGCTTGATCCATCTGCCTCAGTCTCCAAGAGAGTGAGGATTACAGGCATCTACCACTGCACCTGGTCCCCTCAAATTTCTTTAGAATCAAAGACAAGACATTACTTTGGCCCTTTTGTTTTGTTTTGGAGACAAGGTCTCTATCACCGTGAGTACAGTGGTGTCATAATTCACAGCAACCTCTAACACTTGAGGCTCAAGTGATCCTCCTACCTCAGCATCACAAGTAGCTGAAATTATAAGCACCCAACAATGTTCAGCTAATTTTTCTATTTTTTATAGATACAGGATCCTGCTTTTGCTCAGGCTGGTCATGAGCCTCAAGTGATGCCCCTGCCTTGGGCTCCCAAAGTGCTAGGATTATACGCAGGAGTCACTGGGCCTGGCCACATTTAGCCTTAATACATTACATTTTGTTCAATTTTATCTGCTGCTCTAACCTATAGGACTTTTTATGGAAAAAAAAAAAAAAAGCATCCTTTTCATCTTTGGTCCACTTGCTGACATGCCCTGGGGAGGTCATGGGGACAAATGTCAACTCAGTCACCACTCTACATGAGCCCAGAACCACCCCCAGCTCTGCTTCCCCACCCAAGAGTCCCACTTGGTCTGTGAGGCCATCACCAGAGAGTATGTCAAGAGCTTATTCAAACCCACGCACATTCCACAAATTAGCACTGACCAGTAGGAAGGGAAGGGTATGTGCTGACCTCACTCCTCACTGTGCCTTCACTCATGTTCAGTCTTATCTTCATTCACATTTCTCTTTTTGAAAATGAGACAAATTAAGGAACTTCTGTTTTCTCTCTTCTCTCCTTTCCCTGGGCTTCCCTTTAACAAAGAAACTAAGAAGCTTGGTGCCTATAGCTCAGCGGTTAGGGGGCTGGCCACATACACCAGGGCTGGAGGGTTCAAACCTGGCCTAGGCCTGCTTAAAACAACAATGACAACAACAACAACAACAAAAAATAGCTGGGCGTTGTGGCGGGTGCCTGTAGTCCCAGCTACTTGGGAGGCTGAGGCAAGAGAATTGTTCAAGCCCAAGAGTTTAAAGTTGCTATGAGCTGTGACACCACAGCACTCTACCCAGGGTGACAAAGTGAGACTCTGTCCAAAAAAACAAAACAAAACAAAAGAAAACAAACTAAGAGTATTAGGTGAAGGGGCTGAGAGAGACAAGACTCTTCCTCAAAAACTGGTTACTGAGTAACCGGTTACTCAGGTTTCCAGTCCCTGCTCCCAGTGACTTGAATAGAGAATTACAGAACCTGTCTTTGGCTTTCTTCATCTTTTTTTTTTTGAGACAGAGTCTCACTTTCTTGCCCTCACAGCTCACAGCAATCTCCAACTTTTGGGCTCAAGCCATCCTCCTGCCTCAGCCTCCTAAACAGCTGGGACTACAGGTGTGCACCCCTCTTACCTGATGTTATAAAAAACTTTTTGGCTCGGTGCCTGTGGCTCAAGTGGCTAAGGAGCAAGCCACATACACCTAAGGTGGTGGGTTCGAATCCAGCCCGGGCCTGCCAAACAACAATGGCTGCAACCAAAAAATAGCCAGGATTTGTGGCAGGCGCCTGCAGTCCCAGCTACTTGGGAGGCAGAGGTAGGAGACTTGCTTAAGCCCAGGAGTTGGAGGTTGCTGTGAGCTGTGATGCCATGGCACTCTACCCAGGGGGACAGCTTGAGGCTCTGTCTCAAAAAAAAAAAAAACTTTTTATGCTGCCCAGGCTGGTCTTGAACTCCTGGGCTCAAGCAATCCTCTGACTTCAGCCTCCTGACTGGCTGAGATTATAGGCTTGAGCTACTGTGTTTCTCCGAAAATAAGACCTACCCCAAAAATAAGCCCTAGCAGGATTTCTATGCACTTGTTAAATATAAGCTCTATCCTGATAATAAGACCAGTGATGGACCATGCGTTTTGGCACCAAGCGGTAAGGAAGACTGGAATACCTTTCATCTGCCACAGCTCCTTTCTCTGATTCGTTCACACTTGCACAGGTGCATGTGTGGTAACTGCGGTCGCAGGCATCCTATTGCGCACATGCGAACGGCTAGGGGAAAGGAGTTCATGTATCACTAGCGCCAGCCCCACCAACAAGGTTGGATCCCCCTGTCAGGTTCCAGAAGAAGATGACTTAATTGTATTTGAATAAATGTAGATTGTTATATTATACTTAATAAAAATAAGACATCCCCTGAAAATAAGCCCTAGTGTGTCTTCTTGAGAAAAAATAAATGTAAGACAGTGTCTTATTTTTGGGGAAACACAGTACTATGCCTAGCTCTCAGCTATTTTTTTTCTTTTTTTACTGAGACACAGTCTCACTTGGTCGCCCTCAGTAGAGGGCTGTAGGATCACAGCTCACAGCAACCTCAAACTCTTGGACTCAAGTGATCTTACTGCCTCAGCCTCCTGAGAAGCTGGGACTACAGGCACCCACCACAATGCCTGGCTATTTTTAGAGAGGAGGTCTCTCTCCTTTTTTGTGTTTTGTTGTTGCTGTTGTTCTTTTTTTTTGAGACAAAGTCTCAAGCTGTCACCCCTGGGTAGAGTGCCGTGGTGTCATAGCTCACAGCAACCTCCAACTCTTGGGCTCAAGCAAGCCTCTTGCCTCAGTTTATCTATTTTTAGTAGAGATGAAGTCTTGCTCTGGCTCGGGCTGGTCTCAAATCTGTAAGTTCAGGCAATCTGCCTGCTTCGGCCTCCCAGAGTGCTGGGATTACAGGTGTGAGCCACGGCGCCCGGCCTCTTCATCACTTTTAAACAAATGGTATCACTTTTATTCATAATTAGAAAGGACAATACCCTCTTTTTTTTTTTTT